TCCTATCTTATTTAACCTAGCCCTAAAAGTCCTATTTATAATACATACGACTTTTGCTACAAGTTAACTAGGAATAGAAAACTAAAACCTATTAAATTAGGCTAGAAAACCCCAAAATAGTAGGAAAAACTATCCTAAAACGCCAAGGATTCGCAACGTCTCTTGAGCACTTGCACTTCCGCTTTTGCTCGAGTGTCTGGGTCTAGGTGAAAAATCATCTATCTACTGCTTGAGAACTAAAACCCAAAGCACTATTCTGAAACTCCTATTTCTACCGTTTCATTTTCGTCTTTTTGCATCTATGGTGAGCCAACTTCAACAATCTCTACCTTGGCGAACCATTAATCACCTATGAACCATTGTTGACCCCTAGAACATCTTCAACGTCTTGGAAACCGTTCTAGTAATTCCTAAGAGCTCCACCATGTCAAGAAGCCTCCTACCTCAATGCACCTTAAGTGAGAAGGTGCTCCACCCAATGCTAAACTTGGGCCATCCGGATGTGTTGTGTAGAAAAGAGATCCCGCATGCCGAACTCCTTGCTCCTCGCGCTTCTTGGAACCTTGAATTTTTAATATGCCTTGATACGCAAACCACATACTCATATCAGAAGAACTAAATAAATCACTCAAATGCCTTATACTTCTATATTCCAAAAGTATATTTCAAGCCGGTCCTGAATTTTTAGGGTCCATGGCTAATGTAAAATTAGGCCCTTATATATATATATAATTTTTTCTTTTTCACTGAAGTGCTAGACTCAGTCTCATTTTAAAATCAAGATTTAACTTATTCAAATTAACTAAAAATTTAACATTCAAGACAAATAAATTATATGAATTCAAACTTCAATATATAAAAGTCTAAAATAAGAGGTGAAATTCCCTAGAATGGCCAACTGATCTGTTTCTTAATACTCAAACACCACGACAGGATTGAAATACTGTAACAATCCTGTAAGCAAAAAATTCCAGAATACGCAACAGAATAAACTCAAATAAAAACGCAAACAATTGCACAGGGGACACACGATATGTTGACGCAATAAAAAACCTCAAGATGAGGAAAACAACTGCGGGCACTATGCCGGAGAACAAATCACTATGAGAAAGAATACAAAAAGGTCTTACAAGTCTCAACTCACAAGACTAACGCTCACAAGGCAGACTTGCCTACTCGCCTTTGCTACTCAACCCAACCAGCGATCTTGTCTTCCTTCGTCAACAAGAGATGGCACAACTCTAGTCTCGGCTGCTCACACCTCAAGGCACGATTGTTGATCACCAACATGCATAATGCTCATGAACTCACACATATATGAAAAGATGATTATTTAATCACTCATGGAGGCTAACAAGGAACAGCCACATGAGTTTTCAATATGAACTCTCAAAAACCTCTCTGCAAATATTTTGTTCTTCTTCTTCTTTTTTAATGTTGCAGACACACCAACAAAAAAGCTAAGTTCCTTTCTTTTATTACACGCTTAAAACTAGGTCAGAGACCAAAAAAGGCTTTTAGCAAAAATGGGCTTTTTAACAAATAAATTATTTCTTTAAAACAAATAAAGCCACTTAATTGAAAACCCAGCCGAAAAGACAAAAGAGCCATTTTGCTTAACTAAGCACCAATCTAAAGAATATAAAACCATCGTTAAAAAACTCATTGATGTCTGGCACTGGATTACAGCCACTTTTGATGATCAAGCAAATATGAAAATATGATGCATGGATGCAAAACATACCTTGGCATTGTCTTTGAGCCACACTGATCCAGGACAGCAGAATGTCACTTGAAAACTGTAGGTTACACTCAAAGACCTACTCTATGTTTTTGTAACAGGAAATTGCCAATATACCAATAATTGGTCCTAAAGAGGCTAAGTTTGATACATTCAAATTTAATGCATAAACAAGATAAATAATTGTGACAATTCAATAATTTATTTTTCTTTTTTGACTTCCAAATTGTTGTTTTTCCAGGAATTATAGCTACTTGAAATTAGAAACAGTAGAAGAAAATCCAATGAAATTTTAATACTTCAAATAACAAACGAAGAACAACATAAATGGATAGTGTTTGGACATTCTTCCTCATAGACAAATTACAGTTTTATACATAGGCAAAAAAAAAAAAAAAACTCATTAAAATTACAAAAATCTTACAAACTATAATTTGTTTGTAAGGAGAAATAACTCCTCATATGTAAAGAGTCAAGTATTTTTTACTTTTAATTGAATGCAAACTAAGAACTGTTCTTTTTGGTCAGTTTAGCATCTATCAATGTATTTTTCTAAGTAGCATCCATTGAGCATGCATGATGAACGACTTGCACTTGTCTCCTAGTCGGCAATCAAGTCAAGCCGCCCAGGTCCAAGTCCAATTCGACAAGTAGTTATTTCATGACCACGACACTGCTCACACGTTTTAGTGATGCGTGCTGCCTTTTCTACTAAATGATTGATCAAAAGATTTACAGCTTCCTATATGAGGTATTAATTATTTGGATGTTTTTATGAACTTTCTGTATAAATCTTGTAAGGAGTTTGTAATTTGAGAGCGGTTATCCTTATACTTGAGATTACGTGTTCAGATTCTCAATATACTAATATCAATTATTAAAAATAAAAAAAAATTATACATAACCCAGATGACACATTTTATTGGTCATCTTGCATAAGTATGCAACCTTCTCATTGGACTTTTCTTCCTCAAAGATTCCTCAAAGACAAGTGGTGCAGACAGCGGTGGACCCATAAATTTTTCAAGAAAAGGGCAATATTTCAAAGGTTAAAAGCACCATATTAACAAATTCACCATGTTAATTATATACAAACTAACAAGCTTTAATCAAACCACAGCAATCTTTATTAATTAATTAAAAACTAAAAATATATACAAATAAATAAATTGAAAAAATCTATACAAAATAACAAAAACAAAAACTCAATCAATTAACCGAAACCCAACAATCCATCTTAATTATTTAAAGCATAAAGAGAAATTACTTTAAAATTTGAGGGATAAATTAATTTTCCAAACAAACAGTGGAGGGTTGGTCTATTGGTGGATGACTTATCTCTTGTGGTTTAGGAGCTGCCATGGCTTATGCCCACTTTACAACGCTTCTTTTGCCTCTAAAAACAAATGGGTTTCTACCAAATGAATCAAAGAATACAAGATGGAGAGAGATCCTTTCAGAGTTTTGTTGCTTAATGAATGTAATGGAAGTTGCTTGTACCAATTGAGAGAGTGAGAGATAGTCAATGATAATGAAAAAAGCACAGAGAGAAAAGCTAATGGATGATGGAGGCAAAGGAGGATTGAGAAAAAAGGAATGCGGTTGGGGAGTTGGCCGGTGTGGGTAGTGGTGATTCAGGTGTGGAAGGATAGGGTTAAGAGTTGGGGAGGGTTTATTTGGGGTATCCAATTTCGATTGAAACTCATTTGAGGAAGGGGTGTCAACCTTTGCGTAGCTGTTGGCCCTTTCTTTTCATTTTATAATAATAATTATTATTATTTGGTTTCACTTGGAACAAAACTATGCATTTTGAACATATCACTTTAAAACAAAAAAAAAAAAAAACCAAGCAGCCCTGCTCGCTGCAGCCTGCGCAAAGGAGCTTTTACCTGGAGCTTACATAAAGAAATAAGTTTCTCTAAGAGAAGTGTGTCTTAGTTTCTCCAACTGGTCAGTTTCCTCAGATTTGTGCCTATTGCTATTCAAAGCATAATGATGCAAAGGTTGTATCTCTTGAACTTACACTAATTCATAGATACGTTGTTTTATTATGGGTAGATTGAGTTTTATATAAATCAAGCACTCTTCGTTAAATACTTATGATGTTTGTCTTGAGAGTACAAATATATAATTGGTTTGCAAGAGTCTTAAATTGAAGTGCTTCAATTTAGGATTATCGATTGTTGAATCCTGGGAGATGGACACCTATAAAACTGCGAGTACAAGGGCAGGGATGAAATCTGTCTTTAGGACATTGCAATTCTTGCAAGCCTCAATCGCTAAAGTTGTCAATATTTCTACTTGTATTTGTTGATTTACATTAAGTCTGTCTGTTGAGAATTATTATTATCTTCAAATTCATATTTCCTATTAAGCAAGAATCACAAACAGCGGAGGAGCCATAATGTGACATCGTTAAAACCTTGCCTTAAAAAAACTCTAAAGAAGCCTAACACAAACGATTGCCCTCTTGTTTTGATATTTGAATACTAATAAGCCTAACAAATCCAAGAAATTATAATTATAGAATGCCCAACATCCATATGCTTTTGCCCTCTAGCCAGGAGAGAAAAAGAAACGCCTAGCCTTTCGATCAATGCATCTTTTCATGCGTGACTTGCGGTTCTCAGCAATTAAGTCAAGCCGCCCAGGTCCAAGTCCAGAAGTATCACTTACTTCATGACCACCAATTTGGCTATGATTGCTGTCATTTAGCGAATGGTTAGAACACTCTTCGGCTTTCTAGATGGATTCATTTGGGGTCTTATGTTACTCATGAATACTTACAAAATTAATTGATTATTTATTGCGATGTATTATTCACAGCAGCAATATATAACACTGTATCATTGAAACATAGAAGATGTAATTCCGTTTTCTCGCCTGAGACGTTTTCCCTTCTAGTTTCTATCTGTATCCATCCTTATGGGTACAGAAAGTAGTATTAAGAGTGCTTGAGGTATATATTGTCCCTCAACTCAAAGATTTGAAGGAACTAGGTTTTTTTTTTGTTTTTTTTTTTCAGTGCAAGCATTTGGGGGAGGGGAATTTATACAAATATTCATTGGGTGCCTTCAAATATTCATTGTTTGTTCGTAGTACACGATGAGCACCATAGAGACACCCTCAAAGAGCATGGCTTGGCTCCTTCAAATGCTTGATACATAGCCAGACTAATAATCGACACATTATCAATTACATGTCTGAGAGTCTTACCTTTATTAAAGATGAGACCTTTAATATAGAGCCCGTCTAATTATCGACCCATTATCAATTACATGTCGATAGTCCCTATATGTATGTAAATGTCACCACAACAGGGACCTGATGGGCAGAAAGTAATGACGTAGTTAGGTCCACCATTGCATGTAAATGTACCACTTTTGTCATCATAAACATAGCTGTAAGCGTTGGGGCATGCTTGACTGAATATCTGAGAGTAATTTGTCGGTGGGCATGTCTCTGGAGTGTTTTGAGGCGGAGTGCAACAGTACTGTGGCTGATTGAATTTACCACATGCGCTCAAGCAGGCAACCACGCTCCCATCGGACCCTTTCTTTTGCAGCTCACTTGGACAAACTGCGTTCACGTCCGCCGGGCAACTACCCGTCTTGCAAGTGCCGGTACCTCCTTGTGGAGTCACAGACATGGGCAAGTTGAAGCCATCAACAAGACTAACGTCGTAGAAATCTTGTCCTCCGCCGGCTGGAATACTGAATTCCGCTAAAGTTGCCGGCGGAATGGCACCGTTACCATTGCACTTGACCTGACCAGAGGCACAGTCTGCGGTGGCGCAGGCGAACTTTCCAGAGGCGTCCGTGGAGCATCCAGTTCGGGCCCACAAGCGGCCGGTCCATGGCACCGGAGTGTCTAGCTGGAACTTAGCTTGGGATGCTAACTCGAGCCCTGTGGTTGATAGTTGAGGTTTTCCATCGTCGGTTAGGGTTGCTGGCCAGACCGTGTAGGGGCAATTGTTTTTGAAAGAAATTGTCGCTGCATGTGCACCTGCCATGCAAAGTAAACCGTACTTAATTTGATGCAGTAATCAGAAACCACACTTATTGTGACCAAATATTAAATTAAAATTAAAGAAAATAAGAAGCTTTGACTTTAAGAAAAGATCAATGAGTATTTCTGTCGTTTGGCCAAAATGAAAAACTTAAAGAAAATAAGAAGTTGTTTACCTCCGAAGGAAAGGATGGTTAAGCTGAGGCTGAGGACTACTACTAGGGTCTTCATCATCGGAATGTCTCAGTTTGCTTTGCCTCGAATTTGATGAGCTTGGGCTTTAGTTATATAGGCTTTCATCGGAAACCGTGGAAGGACTGTTGCCAACTAGGTGGAAAGCAGAAAAAGGGAAGAAAATTAAAGGAAATAAACTAATTTAGAAGAGGGAAGCAAATGCAATAAGTAGATGAAGCCATAACTGGTCAAGGTCTTCTTCCACATTAATTGAACATGTTTTGGTCAAGATCTTTGTAAGCTTCACATTACAAAGAAGTTAATGTCTTTTGTACGGTATTTGGAGCTTCTAGCACGCACATTAATAGTGCAATTTTCCCCTTTTTCCCTTTCAACTAAAATAATGATTATTGAAGTGAAATTTTCCTGTCCTTTTCAATATCATGTCAACAATAGTATTATTTGAAGTCTTTATATCAGTTCAATTTACGTTTGAATAGACAATTCAAAATTGAAGTCTAATTTCCTGTCCTTTTCAATATCATGTGAACGATAGTATTATTTGAAGGTTGTCCTCTTGTTTATATTTATTTATTTATTTCAATTTATCAAAAGTGTAGAACTTGTTAGTATTGATTTTGTGATTGGCATTCCCTAGATATCAAATAGACAAAATATAGATGGTAAATTAGTTGTGATGGTGGCTGTCTAAATTCCAAGATATGCTCTGAAGGCTCATATGTCATCCGACGATCACTGAGGTAAATTCTTCATTCAATCATGCATCCTGATTGTGGTATTTCAAGCATTATTTCAAACTCACAATCTAATTAACATTATGATTAAGAAGACTTCTAATTTTAAGAAAGATTGATTTATTTTATAAATTGATTTCCAGTTTTGAACTCCAGCACACCACGGAGACGATGAGAAACCTCAACGACCAAACCACGCCAACTCCACAGAGAATGTTGTGACTGCAGACCAAAGCCTTATTTCCTAACCAAACACGGAAGGGACTATGCAACTACTATATGAGTTGAACTTGAAACCTCTTAGAACCAGCTATAAAAGATTTGGTTTTATTTTAATCTGAATTTTTTACAATATTAAACTAGCCTCTAAGCAAAATTCCTGGAACACTTCAATGGATATTGAATATGGATGACTGACCAACATTTTTTAATATTATATATTAAATACATCTAAATTCATCACTAACCCATAAAAATTTACTTTTCCTTTCCAAGAGAAACATCACGATTTTCTTCATCTGTCTCCGAGTGGTTTCTCTCTCTCTCTCTCTCTCTCTCTCTCTCTAAGCTCCACATCCAAGATTAACAAGATTTGATACATCCTTTATCGTTTCCAAATTTCTTGACTTTATACTCTCCCATGTGATTTCTCTCTCATCTATTATAATGTTGTATGATGAGTAAACTCAAGAATTGTTTTCTGTTAGTTATTTACTGTCCTCCACAGGGGCGGAACCACAACCAGTAAGTTTTGAACAAAAACTAATGATAAACCACAAGAAGTTGCTGCGTTTTGATTTTTTTCCTTTGCAAAATCTGCTGCCTTTGGTTTTGTTTTTTCTCAAACTGCCATCATCTTTTCTTTATCTGCCTTTTTTTTTTGGTGAAATTATCTACTGCCTCTGGCAAAAGGTTTTTGAAGAAGAAAAAAACTTATATAGCCTACCATCAACTACAACATTAGGGAAATATTATCTCAAGTTTATTTGTATTCGTTTTCAAGAAACAGAACTCAGACCAAAAATAATAATAGAACAGTACGTTAACCTAAATATATTGTTCTTGTCTTTACAACTAATATATATGTAAAACTTAATTATTCATATTTTTGCACTTTAAAACATGCCAAAATTTTGCATTTTAGAAGCTTATTTGGATATTTTAATGGATTCAAACTACAAGGGTAAGATTTAAAATTCTTGGTTCTGCCCTTGGTTCTTCACATCTGCTCCATCCAGTTGAGTTTCAATTCTTTTTTTTTCAAATTTGTAGAGCAAAAATATGGCAGATCACCTCATCGGACCCGCCTACTCGAGTCTTGTATGGATTAGTGAAAAGCTTTTGAAAGCCCTAAAATAGACCTTTTCTTTTAGACTGGATCTCATAATATTTTAGGGGAGACGGTGTATTGGAAGCGGGCACTGCTAAAAATAAAGGTTAATGAGCGTGAGTATACAATTAGGCCGTATTTGGTTAATAGGAAAGGAGGCTTGGGAATGGGAATTCAATTTCTTTCCCATGTTTGGTAAGTCCATGTATGAGAAATGGTTGTCTGGCACATGGGAAAGTGGAGGGGAAATTGTAGCCCTCCTCTTAACTTGGGTTTTGTTTTCCCTCATCATGGGAAAGTTTAGGAAAATGAGTCAACATTCAATGCACAATTTTCATGACTATTTTGTCCCTATGAACAATTTATAATTACAACGTATCATTAAATGCATTCTTTTTTTATTTGATTTAATATGGGTATAATTGGAAAATTATACGAACTTTGTTTTCCATTCCTACTCAAAACAAACATGGGAAAGGAAACAAAGTGAAATCTCCCGGTTACTTTCCCGACATTACCAAACGTGCACTACGACAAAAAAGGCAAAAGACGACAGGAATTCACCGTCGTGTATTCGGTTTTCAAACCGTCATGAAATCGACCGACATCTATTTGGGTGTCAAACTACGACGACTTTTCACCGTCGTTGTTTATCTGTAACGACGACGGTTTTTAAAGAAAATCGTCGTTGTTTAGAGGTAAAGATCGTTAATTATAGGAGAAAAAACGACTATTTTTAATAAAACCGTCGTGTATTGTATGTAAAGAGGACGATTTTTTAT